AAGCTTGGTCACTGCTGTGAAATCCACGATAGAATCGCTGGAGAACAAGGTTCAGCAATGGAACGAGTTCGAGACGTCGAAAGAGAAGTGTCTCGCCTGGATGAGAGAAACCGACACGAAGTTACACGCTGTAGACTTGAAAGCTACCTTGCAAGAGAAGAAGGAGCAATTGGAGGTTCTGAGGACTCTGCAGGGACAGGTTCGAGCGAAGGAATTAGAGATAGACGCTGTGACGGAGAAAGCTCAACAGCTTCACAAGAATATAACGTCTCGAACAACGCACACGTCTGAACTGAGCACTAAATACCAGCAGATATCGAACAAAGTGAAGGATCTGAACAGTCGTTGGCATCAGTACGTCACTACTCATCAAGAGTTCGACAATCAGCTAGCCGAGTGCACCAGATGGCTAGACGACATCAGACAGAAGCTCGATTACTGCTCCGACCTAGGTGCCTCCTCTCAGAAAGATCTGGAGAACAAGATGGAGATAGTGCAGGACTTGTTGCTCTACAAAGAGGACGGTTTCGCGAAGGTTCAAGGAATAGTGGAGCTGGCTCAAGGTGTTCTGCCAAACACAGCCCCGCCTGGGCACAAAGCGATCAACGACGCTGTTGGAAAGCTGCAGAAACAATGGAGTGCCTTAGCCTCGAGAATGTTGGAGACGAAGACCAATCTCGACGATTCTATCAATAAATGGGCCGGTCTTCTCGAACAGATACAATCGATGAACAAAACCGTCGACTATATGCAGTCATCTTTGAACGAATTCCTGCCGTTCCAGACCACCGTCTCCGAGAAGAGGTGTCAACTGGAGCGTATCAAAGCTCTGGAGGAGAAAGTTCGATGCGAGAACATCGAGGTCGACGGTCTGAAGATCAAAGTAGCCGAGATGATCGCCAGTGGACCTCAAGGATTGGCCGCGTCACAGGCGCAGGGTATATTGAACAGGTTCGATACGCTGTTCGAGAAGATCAAGTCTCTGCTGGCTGAACGGGAGGATCAGTACAAGGATCATAGGTTGTACAAGGAGGCGCACGACGATATTATCAATTGGCTGAGCAGAGCTCGCGAGAAGATTCCGTCGATGAAGCAGAGGCCTTTGAGCGACAAACTGGCTATCGAGAACGCTGTCGCTCCTCTGGAAAGCCTTCTGAACAAGAAAGCTCAGGGAGAATTGCTGGTGGAGCATCTTCAGCACACTGCGAATGTAGCGTGCGCGAGTACGAGTCCTCAAGGACAGGAGATCATTAAGAACGAGGTGAAAGCTTTGACCGAGAGCTTCGAGGACCTCTTCAGAGGTAAGAATTCTCAGAGATGTGTCGATTTCAGTTTATCTACAAAACGCCAATTTATTCGATTTCAGATATCAAGCAACAGAAGGATCAATTAGAGAAGACGGTGAGCCAGTGGCGCGACTACAAGGACGAGTACGAAAGATTGAGCGACTGGTTGCAGCAATTCGACATCCTGATCAAGGCACAGAAGAACTCTCTGCTACCAAACGTGGCTGAGAAGGAGAAGCAAGTGCAGGAGGTGAAGGAAATCCTGGAGAATCTCGTTAAGGGACAGGAGCAGATCGACAGATTCAACAAGACAGCCTCCGGTCTTCTCTCGTCTCACTTGGACACCTACGTGAACAACCAGCTTCGCCATTTGAACTCTCGTTACCAGGTTCAGGTGAACCTCGCGAAAGACGTGCTGAACAAAGTCGAGACTAATCTAGCTCAGCACAAAGAGTACGAGGCTAACTTGGAGAAGACTCGAGGTTGGATAGAGAACGCCAGGGAGATCATTCGCAAGGGAACCGAAGCTGCCTCCACGAGCAGTCGGGAAGAATTGCAGAACAGATTGGACAATATTCAGGAATTGTTGAGGAAGCGAGAAGAAGGTCAGAACTTGGTTCATCTGACGGTGAACTGTGGGGAGAAGGTGATGAGAAACACTAGATCAGACGGCAGAGAGGAGATCAACGGTTGGTTGAAGGAGATCCAGAACGATTGGGAGAGACTGGTGAAGAAGATCTCCACGACGAAAGTGCATCTAGAGACGAGTCTCCTTCAATGGGCCGATTACAGCTCGTCGTACCTGCAGTTGCAGCAATGGATCAACGACAGAGAGGCTAAACTGCAGCAAGTCTGCGAGCAGAAAGTGTCCAAGGCTAGAAAAGGTCTGGCAGGTCTGAGTTCCTTGGCGATCGGAGAAAGAAAGGCTAATCTTCGACAGACTAACAGTATCGTCCAAGACATCGTGGCGTTCGAACCGATGATACAGTCTGTGACTACGAAGGCGGAGGATCTTCGACAGGCTACACCGGCTACGGAAATTTCTATCAAGTACGAAACGTTGAGCAAACAGGCTCAGGAGTTGTACGCGAAACAGAAGGAGACTGTGGAGCAACATCAGGCGTTCATCGACAGTGGAAACGAGTTTGTACAGTGGATAAGAGCAGCCAAGGAGAGGCTTGGGAAGTGTTCGGAGCCTACCGGAGACAAGGAATCGCTGTCGAATAAGATTACACAGCTGAAAGTGCTGCAAAGCGAGCTGCCCGAAGGACAGAAGAAGCTCCAACACGCTTTGGAACAGGGAAATGCGGCTTGCCAAATTGCAGACGAGGAGGATAAGGAAATTATCGAGGAAGAAGCGGCTTTCTTGCAGGAAGAGTACGACAGCTATGTGTAAGTGTTGCGATTCTAATTTTCTTCTTCCTTTAACACGTTCACTGTCACGTTGGTCACCTGTGACCGGAGAGTGGAGATTAACCCTTTCGCTGGTATTGGCGCCTATAGGCGCTTTGGAGTCTTTTCACGCACTTCCGTATTAATTTATCTGCCACGCGCGTTATATACTAAAATTTGCCGCAGCGAAAATAAGCATAATATAATACTATGCTTAGAATAACGAACATTTTTTCTGGCCTCCTGAGCAAAACATGTAAATCTGGCGAGGCAGTGAACGTGTTAATAAATATCCTCCTAACGAATTCTTCAAAGAAATATCAACGTTTCCTCAGAGACTCGCTGAACAACACCAAGAGCTTGCTGGAGGTAGGAATAGTGAAATGGACGGAGTACGAGGACCAATTCTCAGAGGCCACCGAGTGGCTCACACAGACTGAACAGCTGGTGCAGTCGTTCAACAAACTTCAGGACAGCCTGGAGGAGAAGAAGAACGTACTCGAACAATTCCAGATTCACCTGCAGACGTTATTCGACTGGCAGAAGGAACTGGATCGATTGAACATGAAGGCTCAGATGTTGCTAGAAACCTGTGCTGATACTAGAATCTCTAACGCTATCACCCAATTGACCACGAAATACAACGCTCTTCTGTCCTTGGCTAAGGAGATAATGAGACGCCTAGAGCTACATTATCAAGTAAAATTCAATCTATATTTCTTCACCTTCTTCAAACGTGAAAATAAAATATCACGCTTCTTCTACCTTTTCTAGGAACATCAACAGCACAATACGCTGTACCAAGAGTGTCAAGACTGGATAGAAAGGACTCGCGACAAGTTGGGCGAGTGCAAGGAGATTCCAAGCACCCTAGCCGAAGTGAACAACAAACTGCACACCTGCAAAGCTATCAGACAGACCCTGGAACAGGGCCAGAACAAACTACGCTACGCACTCGAACTAAAGGAGAAGGTGATCATGAACACCGAGCAGAACGGCGCGGCGAAGATTCAAGAGGACACCGAGAATCTTAAGACAGAGTTCGAGAAACTGTTGGTGAACGTGGAAGACATAAGGCAGAAGCTTTCCGCGAGAGCCAGCGCGTTGGAGGAACTCAACAAGACTCACAGGCTCACCACCGATTGGATCGAGGAGATCGAAGGAAAGATTCAACCGGACGAAGCGTACAAGAACGATCTGAGCGAGAAACGTGCAGCTTTGGAGAAGTACAAGACTGTTCAGAGGGAGATCCAGGGTCACGGTGAAACTATGGACAGATTGAAGGCCCGATTAGCCGAAGATTCCAGTATTTCTCTCGGTCCTTATCAGGCCACCATCGCTAAATACGACGATTTGACCAAGTTGATCGCCGAGAACATTCGAGTAAGTACAAGTCTGTCGTTTATCGTAGAATTTACACCAAGTCTTGAATAAACTGTTCGTTTTCAGAACTTGGAGGAGCAAGTGATCGATCACGAGAAGTTCCAGCAGGCTCAGAACGAGGCGGCAGACTGGGTGCGCAACACTCAGCTAGAACTTCAACAGAACTGCGACACCCACGGTGAAAAGGAGCGTATAATCGAACGAGAGAACAAAGTGAACGAAATTATCGCCACGCTTCCCAAAGGAGGAATCCTAATCTCGGAGGTGATCCAATTGAGCGACGCTGTGATCGCGAGTACAGGCCCGGAGGGTCAAGAAGCGATCAATCAGGACGTGAAACAGCTGCAAGCCAATTGGAAATCGTTGAGAACTCAATGTCACGACTCTCAGAAGACACTGGCCAACTGTATCGCCAGTTGGTCCGAATTCACAGCTGCGTTGGACAGTATGAAGAGCTGGATCGACGATTTCCAGAAGAAGGTGAACGACGAACAATCGAAAGAGAACAAGACACCGGAAGATTTGGTGCGTTGCAAGAGTCTGGTAGAGGAAGCTGTGAAACAGAAGCCTGTTCTCGAGGAATTGAACGACAAATGCGAAGCTTTGTTGGAGATGAGCGCGTGTAGCTGGGCTCGCGACAAGACTGTACAGTTGCAGTCAGCTTACACGTCGCTGTTGACCGATATGCAGGGCCTGGTTTCTCGGGTAGAGAAAAATCTGTCGGATCATACGGAATTCCTGAAGGCTAAGAAGGAAGTGGAGGATTGGCTGAACGTTGCTCGAGGCTCTGTACAAGATTGCATGGGCGTTGGAGATGCCGAATGGGCTAAGGACAAACTGGAAACCACCAAAGTAAGTTTACCGATGAAATTGCCGAATCAGATCTTCTCTCGATCAACTGTTCCTGTTTATCCCCTTTCTATTACAGATCGTTGCAACGAGAATTACCGAGGGCCAGCACCTGATCTCGACACTGCAGAACGCCTTCAAGAAGGCCATAGACACCGCTGTTCCAGAGCAACAGGAACAACTACGATCGGACATGGCAGGTCTTCTGATCAGCTGGGAACAATTGAGCGTGGATCTAAGCACAGTTCAGGCACAGCTCAAGTCTCTGTTGAATCGTTGGGACGATCACACGGAAGCTGACGAGAAGATGAACCGTTGGCTGGAGGAGACGGAGAAGACTATCGGGGAGCTTCCGGACACGAAGGGCGAAATCGCCGGTATGAAAACTATACAGGAACGTTGCAAGCACATTCAAGAGGAAGTTCGCGACAAGAAGACCGAGTTGGATCGTTTGATAGGAGAGGCCGGTGAATTGTCGGAATTGGCAAAGAACGACACGCCGGTGAAACGAACATCGGAACTTCTGAAACGTTGGCAGAATTTGAGCGACACCGTCGACGAGAGGAAGAGATTGATAGAGGACGAGATACGCGAATGCGGCGCTTATCACGCTGCTATCTTGGAAACTGAGAGGATGCTGTTGCAAATATCCTTCCAGCTGATGGCCTACAATTCTCTCTACATCACGAACAAGGAGCAAACGTTGTCGCAGATCAAGCAACACCAGACCCTTCTCACGGACATCGAGAATTACACCAGCGTGCTGGACGATCTGAAGTTGAAGAGCAACATGCAAATAGAACGTTACGTCGCGGTGAATCCTGGCATCAGATCGGTGATCGAGTCTCGGTTGCAGAACGTTCAAGAGAGCCATAATCTCTCGTTGAACATCGCGTTGCAGATCAAGGAACGACTGGAGGAATCGTTGGTTAAATTCAACGAATACGAGAACACGCTGGAGGACATAATGAACAATCTGAACGCGTACGAGGTTGAACTTGACGAGGAAATTAAAACTCCGATCGAGAAAGCTGATATCAACAGGAGATACGATAACGCTCTAAGTTTACACACCAGGCTGCAGGCTGAGAAAACTAAGCTCGCGCTGGCTGTCGAGGCTTGCGGAGCTGCTGTTGCCTGCGTCTCTAGACCTGGAAGTCCTCTGGACGCTCCTCCTGTGCAGATGCCTGCGAGAGAAGTGGAGGTCCGGGATAAACTGGAGAAGCTGATCAGACCGGTATACACCGTGTTCCTATTATCTTCTGTATTTTCTAGCAACAACGAATCTTTTAACCCTTTCGTAACGTGGACGACTGACGGTCAATTTTTAACCACGGCATTTAAAATTCGGCTCGTTGAATTGAGATGGAAGTGCGTAAAGGATAAAGTTAAGCGTTAGTATAGTGCTAGGAAATTTTCAAAACGCCTATAGGCGCCAGTAGTAACGAAAGGGTTAACAGTACTCGAAAATATAGTCTGAACGTAATTTTTCTTTCGTATCGCATTGGAGAGGTGGAAATGATCCTGAAGAAGGGGAAGGAGGATAGTAAAGATTTTTCGTTTAGTATCTCGAAGGGGAATGACGTATGAATTGACGAATTTTCTGAAATGCGCGAAATGGGAGGATGATAAACATTTTTCGTTTATCCTCTTAACTGTGTAAGACGAGTTAACTCGTCGTTGGTTAGCCAACGCTTGGAACACGATAATTTCTTCATCGAGGGATCGTTCTCGTTCTCTTTGAAGCACAGAATTTTAAGACAAAAATAGACTCTAGTTGCACAGGAATTTCATTTTTTAAAAATGTAACAAAGTAGGTATGAATTACGACGTAAAACAACTAAAACTTAAAAAACAATGTTGAGATAATTATTTATTAGGTGGGACATAAATAATCTCACCGTGAAATTTGTGAAAACAGGTTAAATTAGATTTGTTTCGTTTTCTTAATGTTTGAAGGTGGGATGAGAAACATCCCACTGTGCAAATGTAAGTACTAAAAAGGTGGGACACTTTTTACCCCACTATGCCCCAAAGAGTTAAACGTAAAATCGACATTCACGTTTGCAAGAAATTATAATATGATGATAATTCTCGCTAATTCTTAATTACGAACTAGAGATTCGATTTCTGTTTCAAAGGGGAATACAACTAAAGAAAGAAATGCGACTGTTTTTGGTGAGTTTTCGTCGTATTTTTACAGGCATACGTGCATCTGCTGAACGTGAGGGAGTCTAAGGGCGAGATAGAGGAGCAAGCCCGTAAAAGAGAAGCTATGCTGCAGTGGATAACCGCGAAGAGAGATTTGTGCGCGGCCCAAAGGGCCGAACCAGCCAGTATGAACTCTCCTTACGCCGCTACACGGTGTACAGAGCTGAAAGGGATACTCGAGAACATCGAGGACAACCGTCGATATCTCGATTCGATATCGGACGACGACGACGACAACGTGGAAATTCGCCGCGAATTGGACCTTCTCGAAACTGAACTAACGGACACTATCGCCGCGAAACAAGAAGCCGAAGAGCTGATTCAGAGGTATCAACGCGAACTGGCGGAGACGAAAATGTGGTTGGACGGATTCCCCGCGCAACTGGACTTCGTTATCAAGAAGTGGAACAGGCAGCAGACGATCGAGCAGAAGATTGCAAGCGCGAAGGACATTACGGCGATGTTCGAGTCGAAGAAATCGGAGAAATTGAACGAGATGAACAATCTGGCGGAGTCGGTGAAGCAAGTTGTCAGTACTTTCGACGGTTACTGCATCACACAAGAGATGAGACAGCTGAAGGAACGATTCGCCAATGCGCCGCGAGGTTTGCTGCACTTGGACATGACAGCTCAGGGAATCGAAGTGATCAGGCAGGACATCGAGGAGTCGAAAGAGTGGATACAGCAGAAGAAGGACGAAGCTCAAGTAGCCGCGCCTGTTGGATTCGACAGTAAACAGGCCGAGGAGAGACTTCTCGCTTTGGAGGTATGTTTCACATTCAGGAATATTAACCCTTTCGCTACGACTGTCGGTCAATTTGTCATCACGGCTGCAAAATTCCTTCTTTCGACCGTGTTTTTTGAAAATTTCGTTTATCGAACTAAGGTGGAAGTGCATCAAGTGGCTCCATATAGTGCGATAGAATTTTCAAAACGCCTGTAAGCGCCAATAATAGCGAAAGGGTTAAGCACTTTCTGAACAGAAAGACGATTTTCGAGAAGACTTAATTTCTTTCTAGATTCTAAAACTCGATACGCCAGATAACATCAATTTCACCTTTTTTTTCCAATTATTTCCTGGGTTCGTAGACTTAAGGTTGCCATTGTAAAAAATAACGCGACATTGAAAGTGAGGGGTTAAATATACGTGCCTTTTCCGTAGAATATTGTAGAACAATACGGTCACATCCTCCTGAACGTGTTCGATTGTTAACGAATTGTTCGAAACGCTGAATTCTACTGTGTCGTGAATTTCAGGCAACGCTGAAAGAAGCAAAGTCCGAAGAGAGCACGATCAGCCGTTTGAAAAGACGCGTTCGAAATATCGCGAACGAATTGGAGATGGTCGAGCAACATCAACTGTGGAACGAGACGGTAGTTTTAGGTAGAGAACTGGCACAACTCCGCACCATTCTCATAGAAGGAATCTCTAGTGCGACAGCCGCAGTCGAAGCACGACGAAAGTTCGAAGGTGAATTGGAACGAGCTCGATCCTGGATCAGATCGAAGAGTAACAATCTGAAGAAACTGAGCGGCTATCTGCCTCTCAGAGCATCTAAAGTTGAACAGGATATCGAGCAACACGGCGAACTCGAGGCTGATATCGATTCCTTCAACGAGAAGGATCTGAACGATATCCTGAAGCAGGGAAACAATTTACTGAAGGAGTGTAACGGCGAGGATCGTGAAAAATTGGAGAAGATTTTGGACGAAATGAGCAAGGATTACGAGGAGTTGAAGAGCGAGGCTCGAGAGAAACAGGCTGCGCTGTCGGATCTTCTTCAGGGTCGAAAGTCGTTCGAAAATGAGGTGGACAAGTGTCAAAGATGGATCAACGAGGCTGAAGTGGCTACTTCCTCGGATTTGAGAACTTCTAGCATCGACATTTTGAGAGAACAACTTGCCAAGGTATGGTACAATTCGTTGATTAGCAATGTAGGAAACGGAATACAAAAATGGGATCAGAGATTAGTAAGATATAATTACGACGAAGAACGCTGTTAACGCTTTATCGCTTGGCAAGGAAAAGGACCACTCTCGCTATCATTTTCCCTATTTATACGGTCTTCGCGACCCGCGTTCGCTCTCTCTCACTCTCCGCACTCTTTTCGCACTCGCATCCCTCGCGTGCGCACAAACACTCTCTTGTTTAATAACAACGAACGTCGGGAGACCACGTTTTGCATATTCGAGTCGCAGGGTTGTTTACAAAAACGAACTCGACCATATGATCGGTCCGCTCGGGTCATTGACCTCCTGCAATAACATTATAATGCATAACTCCAACCTTCGTCGACCTCTTTCCACTAAAACCATCAAACTTTTCGTTTCTCCAGTACGATCGTCTGAAGAAGGAGGCGAGCGAGTACGCAGACGACATCGAGAAGATCCTCCAACAAGGTAAATCGATTCTTCCAACGGTGAGCGACGCGGACAAGCTCGAACTGAACGAACAGCTGCAGAACATGAAGGAGGCACACGGAAGAGTAGCCGGGATCATAAACGAAAGATCGTCGGCTCTGCAGAAGAGCATCGACGAAGCTGAGGAATCGCTTGCACGAGTCGCCGAAGCGATTCAATATATGACAGACGTTCAGAAGGAACTTCACGAGCTTAACAAGCCGATTGGTTCCCGCGTCGAGGACGTCGAGGCCATGTTGGATTCCTACGAGAGGATTCTAGGCGATCTGAAGGACAAGAAGGCGAAACTGTCCGATTTGCAGTCTGTCAACGTGTCCGATCTTCACGGTGTCTTGACTCAACAGGACGATCTGATAAAAGCTATCGAGGATCAGATCGCGAAACTTCGACAGTTGTTGCTTCTGCGGCAGCAATTCATCGCTCTGATCACGGAGATCACTACGTTCATCGCCAAGTACACGGAGATCGTCCGGGACATCGAGAACTCCGGTCAGACGATCGAGGAGAAGATCAAAAGGTAAAGAAACGACAGCTCCAGCTATTTTCGATTCTATCGGTGTTACGATACTTTTGTTACGTTACCTTCACTCGGTTGTTTTTCCCGCCAGATACGACGACGCGATACTCAAGATCCAAGAATGCGAGGCTACTCTGGCCAGCGCGACGGACAAGGGACAACAGATCGCCACGGAAGGTTCGACGGCGGATAGAAACAACATAACGGAACAATTACAGTCGCTGAAGCAGCAGCTACAGGGTCAGACGCAAAGGGAGCAACACGAGCTAGCAGCAGCGGAGCACAAGAGACTTGCCAACGAACTGGCTGAGATTCTCAACTGGCTCGAGGACAAAGAGAAAGAAGTGAAATCCAGGCCTCTTTTAGAAAGGGACCCGGCGAGCGTAGAGGAAGAATTGAAGAAGCACAACGAGCTATGCGAAGCTGTCAACGAACACCTTGACAGAATTAGAAACCTGAAGAACTGTGCGCCACACGAGGAGGGAATGCCCGGTTCGTTGAAGGAAATGCTCAGTGAAGCAGTGTCTCTGCTGAGTTCTTTGCCAAGGGAAATGGAGGAACGTGGCAATTATCTGGAGAATAATATGAAATTCAGGCAGGAGTACGCTTCTCTCACCGACGTGCTTAGAAATTGGGTTCACGAGGCGGAGATCAGGCTGGAGAGTGACAAGGATGGACTCGATTTCGAGAATATACTCAGCGATCTAGAGGAGCACAAGGTTCGTTGTTTATGATTTTGCAAATTCACTTTCTATTTGAAAGAAAGGCGAAATTTTTCATTCAATCGTCGTCTTTCAGATTTACTTCAGCAGCGAGCCATCGATGCGCGAGTTGGTGTCGCAACAGATTCAACAAGCGGCCGACAAAATCTGGCCGTCTCTGAACACGTCCGAGCAGGAAGAATTGAGCGCGGAGCAGCAACAGCACATACAATTGTTGAAGAACACCCTGAACATCGCGAAATCTCAACGCGCCAGATTGGAACAAGGCGCTGAAACGTGGAAGGACTACACGCAAACGTTGGAACGAATTCGTGCTGTCATCCCGAGAACTAGGTTCACCGACGAGCCTGTCACGACTTTAGCTGGATTGCAGTTCAACATCCAGAAGATCATGCACGCTTTGAACGACGTACAGGTGGGTCGTCGATCGAATTACTCGTTTCTATCGAAGAACATCGATGAAATATCAAGCACTGCTACTTGTTTCCTCTTTCTTCGAATGTTCGACAATTTTTCATTGCAGAATCAACAGTTCGAATTGGACCTATTGAACGAACGTAGCCGCGAAGTTCTCCGATTGGCCAACGACGACAATAAGAAGATCATCGAGTCTCAAATCTCCGAGATCACGGAAAAATGGAAACAGTTGGTTTCCGGTTTGGAGGGCCGCAGAGACGCTCTCGAGGCGCTTTCCAGGCACTGGGAAGACCTCGAGGGAAGATGGTCCTCCATCGAGACTAAATTAAACGCCACCGAGGAGAAGAGCAAACTTTTGGACACTGTGATTCGTTCTAAGCAACACTTGCACGACATCCTTAAGTCTCTACGTGTAAGTATTGTGCGATTTAACTCGACGAACGTTACCTTCCGAGCGGGCTGTTCGTTCGTCTTCCTAAGAATCGTGAAATGTCGATTCAGTTCCGAAACTATCTATTCAAATTTAACTATAACGAAAAGTACATTGAAAGAAATATTGAACGTAAAGATTAGACGATCCTTGAGAAGTATTTTCACACGTTCGAAGAAGGTATCTACAGTTGAAACAAGCTAACAGAACGATTTCTTTGTTAGCCGAGGGGTGTTTACAAATTTTCCTGCTTTGCTGTTAAATATAGGAGCTGGTATCAGAAGCAGAGAAGCTGAAACCGATGACAGAGGAAGTGAGATCCCTCTCAGGACCTGTCCTCGCGTATCTTTCAGCGTTCACGGAGGCTCCGGCACAAGCGCTCGAGGAGAAGCTGAACAAATTGCAGAATTCCGTCGAATCGTGAGTCGAAAACGCATCGATGTCTTTTTATCTATTTTACACAATACCGCAGAAACACCGGCAAAGGCACTGTACAAGTGTCACCAGAAGAATCTCGTGTATTTCACGAGCGCGTTTCTTTCGAAGTCGGGGCGACATTTTTACGTGCAACATATAATCTACGTAAATATACAACGCTGATATTATCTATATTTGCATCGTTCACAAGAAATTTTCTTTTTCAGTAGACGGCAATTTTAGTGTCTTTTCTTTAACGTCATTTTTATTTTCCACGCATTTATATATTAGATCAACTTGCATTTCTTTATTCCAGCTAAAAGACAGAAAGATAGCTTTTTATCAGTTCTCTTCAGCGCGTTCCTTATTTATTTCGTTTAATCGTTACGCAACCGAAAGACGATTCTCGATCGCTCTTCTGTTTCTCTCTCTCTCCCGAATGAGAGAAACGAATCGAGAAAAAGCTCCGCCGAATCGCGGAATCACGATCATCGAGGGAACCAAGCGGTGCGCGGTTGTGTGCGATTTCGAAGCATGTGCATGTGATTGTATGTGCCTGCTTATGCATAATTACCGTCCCTATTCAAATCGGAGGTAATGCCCGCTTTTTTCTCCCTCTGCCCCAATTTTTTTACAACTTTTGTTTCAGGCTATCTTCTGCGTCCGATGTATCGATCATTGTTAATTATAATATTGACATTCTTTTCTTTCTCCATGTATTCATTTCTTTCCAGGCTACGTTTATTTACAACCACCGATGTATACACACAAGAGACGCAAAGGGAGCAACACGAGCTAGCAGCAGCGGAGCACAAGAGACTTGCCAACGAACTGGCTGAGATTCTCAACTGGCTCGAGGACAAAGAGAAAGAAGTGAAATCCAGGCCTCTTTTAGAAAGGGACCCGGCGAGCGTAGAGGAAGAATTGAAGAAGCACAACGAGCTATGCGAAGCTGTCAACGAACACCTTGACAGAATTAGAAACCTGAAGAACTGTGCGCCACACGAGGAGGGAATGCCCGGTTCGTTGAAGGAAATGCTCAGTGAAGCAGTGTCTCTGCTGAGTTCTTTGCCAAGGGAAATGGAGGAACGTGGCAATTATCTGGAGAATAATATGAAATTCAGGCAGGAGTACGCTTCTCTCACCGACGTGCTTAGAAATTGGGTTCACGAGGCGGAGATCAGGCTGGAGAGTGACAAGGATGGACTCGATTTCGAGAATATACTCAGCGATCTAGAGGAGCACAAGGTTCGTTGTTTATGATTTTGCAAATTCACTTTCTATTTGAAAGAAAGGCGAAATTTTTCATTCAATCGTCGTCTTTCAGATTTACTTCAGCAGCGAGCCATCGATGCGCGAGTTGGTGTCGCAACAGATTCAACAAGCGGCCGACAAAATCTGGCCGTCTCTGAACACGTCCGAGCAGGAAGAATTGAGCGCGGAGCAGCAACAGCACATACAATTGTTGAAGAACACCCTGAACATCGCGAAATCTCAACGCGCCAGATTGGAACAAGGCGCTGAAACGTGGAAGGACTACACGCAAACGTTGGAACGAATTCGTGCTGTCATCCCGAGAACTAGGTTCACCGACGAGCCTGTCACGACTTTAGCTGGATTGCAGTTCAACATCCAGAAGATCATGCACGCTTTGAACGACGTACAGGTGGGTCGTCGATCGAATTACTCGTTTCTATCGAAGAACATCGATGAAATATCAAGCACTGCTACTTGTTTCCTCTTTCTTCGAATGTTCGACAATTTTTCATTGCAGAATCAACAGTTCGAATTGGACCTATTGAACGAACGTAGCCGCGAAGTTCTCCGATTGGCCAACGACGACAATAAGAAGATCATCGAGTCTCAAATCTCCGAGATCACGGAAAAATGGAAACAGTTGGTTTCCGGTTTGGAGGGCCGCAGAGACGCTCTCGAGGCGCTTTCCAGGCACTGGGAAGACCTCGAGGGAAGATGGTCCTCCATCGAGACTAAATTAAACGCCACCGAGGAGAAGAGCAAACTTTTGGACACTGTGATTCGTTCTAAGCAACACTTGCACGACATCCTTAAGTCTCTACGTGTAAGTATTGTGCGATTTAACTCGACAAACGTTACCTTCCGAGCGGGCTGTTCGTTCGTCTTCCTAAGAATCGTGAAATGTCGATTCAGTTCCGAAACTATCTGTTCAAATTTAACTATAACGAAAAGTACATTGAAAGAAATATTGAACGTAAAGATTAGACGATCCTTGAGAAGTATTTTCACACGTTCGAAGAAGGTATCTACAGTTGAAACAAGCTAACAGAACGATTTCTTTGTTAGCCGAGGGGTGTTTACAAATTTTCCTGCTTTGCTGTTAAATATAGGAGCTGGTATCAGAAGCAGAGAAGCTGAAACCGATGACAGAGGAAGTGAGATCCCTCTCAGGACCTGTCCTCGCGTATCTTTCAGCGTTCACGGAGGCTCCGGCACAAGCGCTCGAGGAGAAGCTGAACAAATTGCAGAATTCCGTCGAATCGTGAGTCGAAAACGCATCGATGTCTTTTTATCTATTTTACACAATACCGCAGAAACACCGGCAAAGGCACTGTACAAGTGTCACCAGAAGAATCTCGTGTATTTCACGAGCGCGTTTCTTTCGAAGTCGGGGCGACATTTTTACGTGCAACATATAATCTACGTAAATATACAACGCTGATATTATCTATATTTGCATCGTTCACAAGAAATTTTCTTTTTCAGTAGACGGCAATTTTAGTGTCTTTTCTTTAACGTCATTTTTATTTTCCACGCATTTATATATTAGATCAACTTGCATTTCTTTATTCCAGCTAAAAGACAGAAAGATAGCTTTTTATCAGTTCTCTTCAGCGCGTTCCTTATTTATTTCGTTTAATCGTTACGCAACCGAAAGACGATTCTCGATCGCTCTTCTGTTTCTCTCTCTCTCCCGAATGAGAGAAACGAATCGAGAAAAAGCTCCGCCGAATCGCGGAATCACGATCATCGAGGGAACCAAGCGGTGCGCGGTTGTGTGCGATTTCGAAGCATGTGCATGTGATTGTATGTGCCTGCTTATGCATAATTACCGTCCCTATTCAAATCGGAGGTAATGCCCGCTTTTTTCTCCCTCTGCCCCAATTTTTTTACAACTTTTGTTTCAGGCTATCTTCTGCGTCCGATGTATCGATCATTGTTAATCATAATATTGACATTCTTTTCTTTCTCCATGTATTCATTTCTTTCCAGGCTACGTTTATTTACAACCACCGATGTATACACACAAATTTATCAATCTATCGTTCCTTAATTTTCGTTATTTATCATTCGTAGAAAAAGAAAGAAAACGGCTCGTTCATCTTTACGCACGGAAATTTTCTCCGTCTCGGTTTCGCATGCAAAATAGCATCGAATATCCAGTTTGGGAATTGTCAGAACGAAGCAAATGTCAGACGTTCGTTCCGGACATCTTTTTCGTAGAACGGTCGTCCTCGTCGGACAGGCAAATATGCCAGAAAAGAAAACGAAACAGTATCGTGGATGGTGGGGAGGGTGGAAAGGACAAGCTCTGAGGTTTCTCGGCAGGAGTAGATTCCTTATGGATTACGACATACAATCGATTTAGCATGCATTACGTGTCCTATTGCGTTCCATCATACCCAAATTAGTCCCATGACGTAATTAGGCCTTGCAAATAGTTGTGCACCGCGTGTCGCGATATGCATTGCGTCACGAGATTAATGTCCAGAAACGAATCAGGATAAACCGATCGAAATTCTCCCAGGAGAGTCTTTTCAGCAGAATCTATAGCTTCATGGAACTTCGCCGCAGCGTGTTGTCTGTGCGTGTGCGAGGTGGAAGCTAGTAGGTGAAGTGTAACTTCGATCAATGGGCAACTTTGTTCGCCGGTGTTCAACGCTTTCGTGCGAATTTTCAAATCTTCGAATTTTCGCCTCGCTGAGAAATATTTAACGTTGGATTTCTCGAGGCAGGACGAGTTTCTTGTCAAATTTCCCTTGGAAAATGTGGGGCAATTCTGAGAGAAATGAAGGAGCTTGAACGTCTTGGATGATAATAAGAGAAAAGAGAGACACTTGGAATTGGAGGTTTTAATTAATTCAATAAAACGTCTAAACCTTTGCACTTTCGGATACTTTTTTGTATAGAATCGAAACCAGTACGCTGAAGTGAAGCTTTCGTAAACTCAAGGTTTCGTTGGTTTTTTTTTTTTTGGAGAGACAGATTTAAACGATTGTGAATTCATTTCTATTTTTACTACTGTTTTATTAATTTGACTGATTTTAACGGTGTAAGAAACTACTTGAATTTTAGCACACTGTTCATTTGTGCGAAACCAGTTTTGGGTTTGAAAGGAAGAGACTGAAATGTGGGTACGAATTCGTTTCACTTTTGCAGTGTGAAACTTTTGCGAACTTTTGCGTCGTTCCTCGAAAATTCTCCACGAGATATCCAAAACTGAAACCAGTTTTGGGTTTGAAAGGAAGAGACTGAAATGTGGGTACGAATTCGTTTCACTTTTGCGAAGTCGAAGTTTCGCTTTCGAAGGAAGAAACTTGAATGGTTATGTGATATTTGAGTAATGTTGAAAAAGAAGTCTTGAATTTTGCGTCGTTCCTCGAAAATTCTCCACGAGATATCCAAAACCAACTCTGTCGAGAAATGCGATCTTCAGAATTGCGCACTTTCGAGTGAAAAAAATTCTCCACGGGATACCAAAAACTAAAAGAGATATAATCATCGAAATCACATTGTATCGAATGAAAGAAATTCAGTGAAGTGCAGAGGTCGAAAAAATTCTTCGAAAATTCTCCACGAGATACCGAGAACTAACTCTATCGAAAAATACAATCGTCAGAATTACAGAGAAATTTGCCAATGTCCAAACAATTCTTCCAAAAAAATATTCCAAACGAGTCACTCTCGTGACGTCGGTGAATCGCAAAGGCCAAAATAAGTCCCCTCGAGGTTCTCCACAGTCTGTA